CGGTAAATGATCGTGTGCTGGAATGGTTTCTCTGTTGTCGTGCTAAAAACTTCCCGCTAACTGGGCCGCTAATTCGTGAGAAGGCTAGCTCCATAGCGAAATCTATGGGCATAGACGACTTCGAAGCGTCCGGTGGCTGGCTGCAGAAGTTTGTTGCCCGGCATCAGTTGACCAATTCTATCTTGTGTGGTGAGGGAGGGGAGGTAAAGATTGAGACGGTGAGCGAGTGGAAAGGGAAGCTATCAGGTCTCATCGAAGGATATTCAGCAAATAATATTTTTAACTGTGATGAGACCGGATTATTTTTCAGAACTCTTCCATCCCGCTCATATGTGAGTAAACGTGAGTCTGCAAAGAATGGCAAACTTGCTAAAGACCGGATTACCGTACTGTTGGCAAGTTCAATGGTTGGTGAAAAGTTGCGTCCATTGGTCATTGGAAAATCAGCAAACCCGCGGTGCTTCACAAAAGACTATAAACAACAAATGAGAGTGACATATGAAGCCAACCGCAAAGCTTGGATGACTTCAGAAATCTTCATGAAGTGGTTGCATCAGCTAAATAACAAGATAGTCATCCAAAACCGAAAGATTCTATTGTTTATGGATAATTGTGGAGCCCACGTCCCAGCAACCTTGTCAAACATGAAGATAATTTTCTTCCCACCAAACACAACATCTCACTTGCATCCGATGGATGCTGGAGTCATCCAGAATGTCAAGCTGCAGTATCGTAAGAGCATGCTGAAAAGTATTTTGCTCAACATGGATGAGTGCAACAAAGTAAGTGACCTTGTAAAAAAAATTACTGTCAGGGATGCTCTTGAATGGATAGAAGCTGCTTGGATGAAATTAGAATCTTCTACCATCGGTAAATGCTTTTCCAAGTGTGGATTTTCACACACAGACGCCATCACTCACGATGCTGAGGGGGAAGATATTGATGAGACTGACCTTATTCCACTGCGTCAAATAATTCCTGACCTGACAAACCAGGATCTTCTAAATGTGGACTGTGATTTGGCTGTCACGAAAGATTACACAGCAACAGAAATCACAGAATTGCTCGAGCAAACCACCAATGTGATTGAGTCTGAGGAAGAAGATGATCTTCCCGGCTCAACTCCTGATGACAAGCCACCTTCCAGCAAGGAGGCAATGCGAATGGCACAAAAATCCTTCGCTACGCACAAGAATCACCAGACATCGGCGATGAACGGGACAGTTACTTGCAACTAGCAAGAAAACTGTATGACACGCAGGTGAACGTTGTCATAAACCAAAGAATGCACGCAACGAAACAATTCAAAATAGACACATTTTTCCCAAGGTAGGCAAAACATAAGCATTAAAATACTGTACTGTACGTACTGTATTGTACTTTTGTGATTTTTTTTTTTTTTGATACACCTGTACCTGTATTGCAGTTTTTGTTATATGCAGTAAACAGTTTTTGGACAGTATATTTTTGCATTTTATTGATTGTGTTGTTACACGTGCATTTTGTCAACATACTTGCAGGTTCATAAAGGACATGTACCATGCTCTTTTCTCAAATGAGGAATTTCTGTTAAGCGCAAAAATTGGACAGCGCAAACACGAGTTTATACTATGTATATATATATATATATATATATATATAAGTCGCAGCTGAGTATATGTCGCCAACCTAACCAAGGACCAGCCAACCTATGAAAGAAGTGTGGCTTTCAGTCCTGAAAATGCAGTAATTTGAAAATACTGGAATTAAATTTTGTAATTTAAATCCAATATTGCACAAACTACATTAATACCTAATCACTTTTACAAAGATAACGGATCACTTGAAAATGACAATCATGAAGATACAATTGAAATTTGAATGTATTATTGTAAGTATAAAAATTGAAGCTGCTTTAAATGGTTCCTTGAGTCAACCATGTTTGGACTCAAAATTGTTTACATAAGCTTTTGATTGATTGTCAGAAAACATTGCTTGGAAAAAGTATGTCCTTATATTTTAAGAAGTAATTTGTTGAGCAAAGTGAAAAAGTGAACAACAAGCAGACTGAGACTTTTTATTGTTGGATGTTTTCATTGTAGTCTCTAGTTTCTTGATCTCACCCCCTCCCCTCCTCCCATTGTGCGATTTCACAGCGGCCAAGTGGGCACGCGCAGCCCGTCTCTGAACAGCAACATGGAGTCCTTGGAGGAGTGCATGGTGTGCTCGGACATGAAGAGAGACACTCTCTTCGGGCCTTGCGGACACATTGCCACATGTTCCCTCTGTTCACCACGTGTCAAGAAGTGTCTCATCTGCAAAGATCAAGTCCAGTCACGCACCAAGGTATCTCAAACATAAACACAACTCAATATTTTATTGATCTCTTTCACTTCCAATCCACACAAAGACCACGTGTCACTTTACTCATGCCCATCTTGTGGAGATCACTGGTAGGGAACCATCATACATCATCCAATAAGAGCATTTGAACTTTGCCTTTCTGAAAACATATTAAACT